TTTCACTCTTTGACTCTTTTGATTACTAGCATGGACCTAGGCTTTTCACAGATTCAACTTGCCTAATTAGCTATGATCACTGTTTTCTCAAAAAATTACAATTTACTCAAAAAATAAAATTAGAGCAGGGTCCCTGCCCTCAAAAATCTTATATTCTTTATGGGAAAAAACGATCTAAGGTCCGTGGGAAATACGGTGAATAGAGCAAGGCAGCTTGCCGGTGAAGAGGCTGCTTGTCTCAGGCGGGCGATAGCCTCCCTCCCAAACAATCCTTTGAATTGCAGTGCTTTATTTTCATGGGGGCTACAAAATTTGTTCTGGAGAGAAAATACGAATCTAGTCCACACCTGGATTCAGATGCCTAAAGCATGTTGGGGTGGGTAATAGCTGGGGGTGAAAAAACATGACTTGGTGTCCACCTGCCAAGGGAGGAACGGTGCTGGAGGGCCAGGACCCCCATCCCCCCACCCCCTGGGCCACCACAAGGCCTTCTTACAGCGGCGAGGAAAGGCCTCACGTGTCTGTGGTAAAGTAATAGGTCCCCGGAAAACTCCATGCCTTACAGCAACAACAATCATTTTATTATTATTGCTCGTGGCTCTGGGGTTGACAAGGATCAGCGAGGTGGTTCTTGCTCAGGGCTTCGGATCTCTGATTTCTGTGGTCACAGTCACATGGCAGCCCCCATCTGGTAGCAGTTGGAGTCATCTTAAAGCCCTTTATGCTGACTGTTGGCTTATACCTAGCTGAGGCTTTCTGCCGGAACATATCTCTCTGTGTGACCAGGTTCCCTTGCAGTGTGTCTAGGTTGCAGAGCAAGGCAGGACCTGGAAGCTGACAGCGTCTGAAAGCTTGGAGCCAGAAACTGGTGTGGCATCTCTTACCTCTGTTCTACTTACTGGTCAGGCAGTTTCAGAGGTTAGATTCAAGGAGAGGTGACACAGAGCACGACCTCTTGATGGGAAATGGGTCGAAGAATCTGAAGGCCACTTTGAAAAATGAAACCACTAAGTTTTTTTGGTGTGAAGTGCCCTACAAGAATTCTGTCATTTAATTCTCACCACAAGTATTAAGACCAGTTTACAAATGAGGAACTAGATACAGAGGAAACTTAAGACTCAGAGAAAGCTGAGAACTTGCTCAGGATCTCACAGAACTCCAGCTCCAATGGCCTTGTGCTTAGCCACAGCTCTTCACTGCATTCCCAATACTTGGGGAAAGAGGAATCTTCAAGGGGCTGAGCCACTGAGTGGGTGGGAACCCTTAGCAGTCCTAAGCTGGGCACTAATGTAAATGTGACTGCATTGGTCCAGGAAGTATCCACTCAGAGCCCACAGAGCCCAGGTGATATATCCCATGATACAACCTTTCCTCCGTAGAAGGGTTTGGAAATAGGAAAAACGCTGGTGTGGGCTGACTTGACTGGAGGCTTTTTTGGATAGTTTATTTGGATGGGCCTTAAAGGGCAGGCAGGATCTGAGCTGTGGAGAGGAATGGAAAGGAACCACTAAGGTTTTCTGGTAGGTTCTCTCAAGTCCTCAGGCTTTGGCCTCCATTTGTTCCACTAACCCTTTTTCATGATGCAATACATCAGGAGCTCATGTCAAATATAAGCTCCTTCCTTATGTGTCTTCATCTTGGGGACATGTGCATTGCCAAAAACACTTAAAGTTCGACTAAAGTAGCTTTGTCCTACTACATGCAAAACTTACACATGAGTTCTGTTAATACGTGGTCCCCTCACGGAACACGAATAACTTTTCTCAACAGGAAACCTCAGTGGCTACTTCTCTGTGCAAGGGTCTATTGAAAAGGGCAGGGAGTAATTTGGAAGAACTATCAGGCTTAAGTCTGGCCTGGTCACATGGTTGGAAGGCCAAAACAAAACCCTGCAGGATTGTTTTTTGTTTAAAGTTCACTTGGAGAGATTGCAAGATTGCTCTTTGATCTTGTAAGTCAGTGTTCTGACGCTTCAGGGCTCTCAAGTTTATTTTGTGGTGAGGCTGTTGGGTTTCTGAATGAAGACCTATAGTTAGGGTGTAATTTCCTGCCCTCCTGTCTGCAGCACAGGCACCGTCTGTATCACTCAGCTAGTCTTGGAGGAGGGAGATCTGTGGCCACAGTTTTCCAAAATCATCCAAATTAGGTCTCAAAAAGGATAGAGTTCTGAGGCCCATCAACTCTCCAAGGAAGGCCTGGAGAACACTGTGATGGAAAAAATACTTCTTTCTTCCAAGCCAGGGCAGTTTGTTGGTGGAACTGAGACTGGAAGCTACGTGAGTAACTTGAGAGCTGCTCCCTGTGGAGAAGATCAAATAGATATTTGACCTTATGAATGGTGGAGTTTTAGCTCCTGACCAGTAGATAATCCAAGGGACCTGGGTTTCCTTTGCACCCAATGCACTTATACCCAGAGAGAGCAAGGCCAGCCCTCAACTTCAGAGGAGAACTACCCAATTCCTGCAGGCTACTTAGAAAAACATTTTTGAATTCAAGAAATACATACTTATTGTAGAAAATCATAAACTGCAGAGTCAATTTTTTAAAAAGCCACCTGTAATCCTATTATCAGAAATAATCACTATTATTTTGATATGTTTCCAGACCTTTTTTTATGCATATACATATATGTATAAATGGTTAGAGGCTCACAACTACCATGTTGGTTTTTTAAAATTTTATTTCTTTTTTAATTTTTATTTTGGTATCATTAATCTACATTTACATGAAGAACATTATGTTTACTAGGCCCCCCCCTTCACCAAGTCCCTCCCTACAAACCCCATTACAGTCACTGTCCATCCCCATAGTAAGATGCTGTAGAGTCACTACTTGTCTTCTCTGTGTTGTACCTGTGTCCTGTGCCCCCCACACACATTATACATGCTAATCGTAATGCCCCCTTTCTTTTTCCCACCCTTATCCCTCCCTTCCCACCCATCCTCCCCAGTCCCTTTCCTTTTGGTAACTGTTAGTCCATTCTGCTGCTGTTTTGTTCCTTCAGTTTTTCTTTGTTCTTATACTCCATATATGAGTGAAATCATTTGGTTCTTGTCTTTCTCTGCCTGGCTTATTTCACTGAGCATAATACCCTCTAGCTCCACCCATGTTGCTGCAAATGGTAGGATTTGTTTTC